TAATTTTTATGTTTCACCAGCTCCATTATCTAAACTATTGGTAGCTGGCTATAGGAAATATTCAGTTGTGGGGCTGAGAGAGTAGAGAATTTGGATGACATGCTGAAGTTCTGGGCTCAATCTTTTTACACAGCAAACAAGCTATATCAATATATACCTGTATAAATATAAATATAATGTGTGCTTGTGTGTACATATGATTGCTTGTATATTTATGTATATATACCTAGATATACATACATTTATGTATATTTATATGCATCTATGTATATATGTACATGTTTTGATATGCATTAACAATGTTTTATTTATCCCGATGCACTGTCAATATACATATTTTCATTTCAACGTTTAATCAATACAAAAATTATTGAGGCACTACATATATGTTTATATACCTATACATAAATCTCATACACACGGATGCCTAACTAGGCCTTCAAAATTTGAAGTGTACTTTTAAACTGAGTACATCTCAGTTTAAACCAGCCAGGTTTCAGGAGCTCACAGGCTGTCGAGGACAGTGTGGTTCTCTATTAAAGTACTGGTTTGCTTGTTCTTAAAAGTGCTGTTTTGTTTAGTTTGGTCAGATTTGTGACTGTTGAATGATAAACCGCCATCGGAATAGCTTTTAGCCAACCCTTTTCTCTGTGACTCTGAGGAATTGAACCCGAGCCTGTGGATGTTAAGCAAGGGCACTGCCACGCGGCTGTATTTCAAACCTTCGCTCCGTTCTTGAATATTGATGCTGGTGATGTCATGTCACGATCAGGAAGCCTGTGCTGCTCCCTGCAGTTTGGTAGACCGAGCACACAGTTCTGAGGCAGATGTGTAAGCGTCTGTAGGCTGTACACAGAGTCTCGGGACTTCAGCTAGGGTGTGGCCCACTGACCCCAGGGTCTATCAAGAGGGCAGCTTTCACTTTTGCTTCTAGTTTGCTTTATGATTCTGGTTTATTTCTCCACAAACTTATTAGGAGTACAATCTAAGCGAAGTGTATTTGCTCTGTAACTGTCGCAGCTTGCTCAGCTTTTAAAATGTCACAGAGGATAACAACCCTTTTGTAAGAGCATGGTTAAAGATCCGGCGTCAGTATTTCCATTAAAAATTCAAACTTTCCAGGATCGTTGCATAGCCATAACAAATTGTTCCAGGCATAAACTTGGCAAGTGCTTCCTTACTGTGGGAGGGAAGACTTTTAACAATTCTGAAGAGAGTAAAAATAAACAAGTGTTTACCACTCCAACTTTGGCAGGAGGGGCACGTAGATGAGGCGTATTTTGTCTTCACATTTGGTCTGGTTCACAAGGTTGAAAGGCTAATAAGAGCTCGCCAGTCTGACCTCGCTCAAGAGTTACACAGCTGTGTAACCCTCCTACCTCCCGACGTTTCAACATGTGCCGTCTTTGACTCTCAAGTGTTTCCAGCGTTGCATGGTGTGTTTCTGAGAGGCACTGGCTGGCCAGCTGTGAGCATCTGGACTTTACCCTGGGGAAAATGCAGGTAAGACTGGTAATACTCTAAACTCTTTGTAGGCCAGGATGTTTTCATCACTATGTGTTCTTGGGGCCTATGCATCGTGTACTAACGCAAAGAAAATAGTTGGTGAGGAATGGCGAGGACATAGAGAGCAGCTTGAGAATGAAGACACAGTTTCTAATTATAAGGGCCCATGCAGGCTCCAACTCACTGTGTAGCTGAAGGTGCTTTGAGCTCTAGATCCCTCTGTCTCCAAGTGCAGGGACTGTAGACCCAAGGTTCCTGGGCTGGTGCTCTGTTCTTAATCTCTTACTGAAATGCCCACTCATCAGTTGGAGGTTGGTGGTCTATGGCTGGTAAAACATCACTCCTGAAGCTCTTATAGGAGGAATTTCTAGGCCAGCCTGGGCTACATAATGCACCCTTGGTAAATAAATGACACTTACTAATTAACTGTGTTTCAATGTGTGGCTTCCTCCTTTTAGTCTTGGCTTTGGACATGTGTCTGAGCCACACCAGGGAAGTATTTAAAGGAATATGTGTGTGTGTGTGTTTGTGTGTGCGAACAGCATGAAACACTGCATAAACAGAATCACAGCATAGATGGTGATCACGGCAAGCAACAGAAACAGCTTAAAATAAGACATTTTTTGAAAGTATCGCAAAAATTACCTATTTTTTAACCAGTGGGTTTGACTCAAGGCCAATTTATTGAGTATGCTATTGCTAAACTAGATCACTTTTTAGCTATGCATTACTTCCCCTCACGGTTGTCTTATTCTAAAGAATTATCATTATTTTTTGACTAGAAAAAAAACTAACGCCTCTTTTCCTTTTATTTGCAAAGTTTTATCCCGTTGGTTCACTTAATGTGTGCATGTGTGTGAGGGGAACGCACACTAACGTGCAGGTCAGAGGTCAGCCTGCAGGAATTGGTCTGTTCTTTCACCACGTGAATTTGGGAATGGAACTCCGGTCCTCATTCTCTGTGGCAAGCTCTTTTAACCTCTGCACTGTATCAGCAGGCCAGGGAGTCCTTCAGGAAAAAAAAATGCTATTACTTAAGACAACATCTCATGTATTCTTGGCTGGCCTTGAACTTGCCATATAGTCCAGGAAAGATGTTTTGGAATTCCCGATCCTCCCGTAGCGATTACAGGTGTGTGCGGACACACAAAGTGTGGCACTGGGCATCCAAACAGGGCTCTGTGCACTCTAGGCAATAAAGTGTCTTTTCCAAGCAGGCCTCCTGAAGTCCGCTGGATGAATGCAACTCGAGGCTAGAACTTGAAATGAGTGTATCTTTTTATCGTGTGCAATTTGCACTCTGTTCGATCATTGAGTCGTTGTAAGCTGGTAGGCAGTGCGTGTGCGTTCACTGCTTTTTTTGTTTCGTTTTGCTTTGTTCTGAGTGACATAACAGGTTACTTCCAATGCAAACATATACTACAGTTTAAAATCTGCCACGGTGTAGAGGGCCCTGCGTACAGTGGTTGTATTAAGCACTCTTGTGCTCCCCCTACCGCCTCAGAGAACACATTCCTAGCCAAGACCCCAGGGCACTCACTCCTCAGCAGTTTCTTCAGAGACAGAGTACTGTTTTCTTCAAGTACCTGTAGTCGTACCTCAAATGGGGGGGGGGGGCAGGTCCCTCTGAGATGCCCAAACCACAGAGTGTCTTGCATAGTGTCTGCACAGCATGCATTGGAACCCTGCTGCATGCTTTACGTTATAAGTAATTTAGCTTTCCAGTATAACATTAAGCCGTAGGCAACCTCCAGGGTACTCGTAACACCCAACGCAGTGTGAGTGCTTGTCATTCTGCATTCTGCGTGGAATAACGAGGGGGAAGGTCTCGCTTTTAAAAATCTTTTTTTCCTATCAAGAGCTGGTTAAATTTGAGGATGTAGAGGTCCAAGTGCAATGTGATAATTTTATCCATTGGTAAAATTAATTAGTATAAAATGTGTCCAGGCAGAGCCCCACGGCACAGACCAGTGGTCTTCATGCATGGTCTGCGGCAGCCAGTTCAAAAGCAGACCGGGCCTGGGGTGGGGTGGGATCCTTGACTCTGGGAGTCTGCAATCCCCTAGATGGTGGTGCTGCAGCAGCCGCTGCTGATCTAAGGATTGCACTTTTAAATGCAGAAGTGTGATATAAAAGCCTCGAGACTTAGTAAACAGTCCCTCATCCATCTTACCCTCTCAAAGGTAGATAGGACGAAAACAGTAAGATAGATAGAATGTGGGAAGGAGGCCTGGCTTGGGACTTGAGAGCACTTCCTGCAGGGTAGGAAGGTCCTGAGTTTGGATCTCAGCACTCCTCAAACATAGCCCTGCAGCCCACCTGCCTGCAACCTCAGCTCGGAGGGGGAAGAGACAGGAGGCAAAGACGAGGTTTGTTGGCTTCCAGCCTAGTCTAGAAAAGATGAGCCTTCAGTTCAGGTAGAAATCCTGTCTCAAAGAAATAATCAAAAAGTGATAAGACACAACATCCTCTCTTTCTCTCTCTCTCTCACACACAAATACACAGAAATTTTAGTACCTTCTATTTATTTTAAATATATATATGAAGACATATATATTTAGAGATTAAATATATATAAAGATTCTATTGTGTCGGGGGCAGTTTATGGCTTTAATCTTAATGGCTAGAAGAGTAAACAGCACATTTCTTATTAATTATTTTACTGTGTGGGTAATATACATATTTAGCTTTCTTCAGGGAACATTTAAATTAATTGACTAAGTCGAGTATGAATTATGTGTTTTAATATGTTTAAGGTTGTTAAAATAATGCAAATTAACTGCTTACACCAACGTAATAATTACAATATTAGTTTTTTCCCTTGAAACTTCTCTAAATGTAAGATGTCTAAAAATAGAGTTGGAGGTGTATTGGACAGTTTGCAGATTATGAGCTGGTATAAAAACATCTCAGTTACGCCAAAAGCACGGCAACCAATACTTTCTGTTATAAAAATATTTTAGATGAAATTCAGTTTTTATTTTTTTAGTTAGTTAGTTTTTTTCTTTTTTATGAAAGCTGTCTGCAGCTGAAGCGAGTAACAGAAGCTTTGTCGACCCCACAGGCCACAATACCTGCAGCACAGGGCATGCGCCTTTTCCACGGGCGAGCTGGCCAGCCTCAGCTCCTCTTCAAAGGCAGCTTTACCAGGAGTGCGCGAAAGATTCCGCTCAGTTAAGCTCTCAATTGTTAACCTTCACCTCCTTAGAGCTCGGGAGGGAAAAGAAAACCAGAGCCTGGACAGGAAACTCACATTAACCGTCCACTAGAGGCTGTAATGAGACCAGCAAAGCCACCTTAGCATAGGAAGCCCAGCAATCACGGATCTTTAAGTGAACAACGCACTTATGGGGGGCGGGAGGGGGAGAAGGAACAGTCGTAGTTCTATTTAAGTAATCGTGGATGCGTGCACGTTATTTCAAAACCTGAGAATAGATGTGTATCTCTCTCTCTCCTCTCTCTTTCTCTCTCATACACACACACACACACGCCACCGCGGCCTTTTTTTTTTATTTAACTTCTGAAGTACTGGCTCCTCAATACAGTAGTTTAAAAGCTCCCACATTTCTCTTGGTGTCTCTGTACACTGGCTCAGGCAGTGACTAACTGTTAGGTCATAAGTAAACGGAGCCAAAAAGGTCTCTCAGCCTCGGCTGGCAGTCAATAGCAGCGGCTTTCAGCGAGACCGAGGGATCGGGTTTCGAGACTCTCCGTCCTAACTAAGCACCTGGAAGGGGTCAGATGCTGGCCTGACACCTACTGGCCTTGGAGAATCATCTGCAGCAAGAAGAGGACGCGGCTCGGAGCGACCCTCGGAGGCTGCGCCGCCCTTCCGCCGGGCGCCACACCTGCTGGCACCGTGCTCTCCTCCGGAGATGCCTCCCCACCGACTCACACCTGGCGGGGCGGCGCAGCCGGAGGGGACGGGCGTGGACTCCACGCCTGACTTTAACCACGGGGACAGGGGAGGTTCCTTCGCCTTGGATTCCCAAGAACCTCAAAAAAAAAAAAAAAAAATGCTCGGTGCACCGGTTACCTCACTTCCGATGAGATGAATGACTCCCCAGCTGGGTGCGAGAGGGGCGAGCAGGCTGGCTACCCGGGGCTAGGGCTGACGCGTTCGATTCCCGCGGCGGATTGCTAGACCTGTAGCATCAAGGGAGGAGGGTCTGGAGGTCCCCGGCTGGCGCGGGCGGGAAAGGTGAAGGTTGCCGGTGCAAGCTGGGGAAAGCCGGACAACTTTCTCCGAGTTGCGAGCCAGGGCAGGAGACGCGGGCGCAGCGTGGGGCTGCGCTGGGGGCTCGGGCTGGAGGGGTGACCGCGAGGGTGCAGCGAGTCCTCCCAGACGCGCGCCGGGGACACTTGGGAACCACAATCCAGCCGACCTCCCCGCCACCCTCCCCCCCCACTCGCGTGTGTTACCGGGTGGGAGTCACCGCAGCGAGTCCCCCAGGATGCCCGAGCTGCACCCTGCTCTCAGTCGGTCCCCTCCAACTAGGTTGCGGGGAGCCGGTCAGCACTCCAATGACCTCATCGCCCCAACTTCCCCGCCCCTCTCAAACCTGGAAGGCACAGTCCCCCTCCGGCCGGCCGGGGTCGGGGATCCGGAGCCGCGGTCGCGGAGAGGCCCCGGGCCTCCCCCGGAGGGAGGGACGGGCGCTTCAGCCGGGTGCACCGAAGGGTTAAGGGCGCCGGCCGGCAGCCGCGCCGTGCGCTCGCCGTGCTCTGTGCGGCTCGCCGGGCCGCCTGCCAGAGGGTGCCCCCCCACCCCCCCGAAGTCGGATCCTTGAGCTGCGGCGGCGGCAGCCAACTGCTCCATATTTGGCTTCTATTACACATTTACATACTGGAGCGAGCAAGCGAGCGCGAGAGAGAGCGCGAGGGAGGGAGGGCGGGCGGAGGGAGGAGGGAGGGGAGGGGGGGGGGAGGAGGAGGAGGAGGGGGGGGGGGGGGGGGGAGGAGGAGGAGGAGGAGGAGGAGGAGGAGAGAGCAGAGTATACCGCAGACATCATTTCTACTACAGTGGCGGAGCCGTACAGGACCTGTTTCACTGCAGGGAGATCCAAAACAAGCCCTGTGGAGCCGCAGCTAGAGCCACAGCAGCCGCAGGACACTGTGTCTCTCTCTCTGTCCCCCCTTCCCCACGCAACCCCAGATCCATTTACACTTTACAGTAAGTGGCTATTTTTTTTTTCCTCCTCTGATTCTTTCTCTCCCCCCTCCCCCATCCGCCTCTCCCCCCCTCCGGTTTAGATTAAAATCACCCCCCCACCCCTCTCCTCCGAGAGGGGCCAAAGAACACCCAGCATACAGCACCCCCCTCCCCCCAGTCTCAATGGGCTGCACGGAAAACAGCTGGAAGAGGAGAGAAGGAAACGGACGCGTTGTGGTGTGTGTGTGTGTGTGTGTGTGTGTGTGTGTGTGAGTGTGTGTACATACAGCGGTGCCGGGCTCCAGCCTCCCGGCTCGGGACCTCACTCTGGACGCTGGAGCGGCGGGCGAGGGGAGCAAGCCAGAGGCTGGTGGGCGGCCGCCAGGAGAGGGGGCGCGCCCGGGCTTGGGGGTGCGGGTGGGGAGAGCGGCGGCGCCCCGCTCCGGCTGCTGCTGGTCCGGCGCTGGGGAGCGCAGGGAGCCGGGTCCTCCTCCCTCCTGGTGGCGCAGGGGGGAGGTGGCAGCGGCTGAGGGTCGCGCTGCCCTCTCCGCTCCTCTACGGTCCCCCTCCCGGGAAGGGGCGGTGAACGCTGCGGGGGGCTCGAGGGAGGGCTGGGCTTCCCCGCCCGGGGGGAGGGGGGAGGTGGTCGCCCAGCTCCACGTAGAGGCGACCCCGAGCCTGGGGTCTCCCCGCCCGGGGCCAGCCTTTCCGGGACCGGGAGGGGACCGTGCGCGCGGCTGGGGGGCGCGGAGAGGTGGCGGCGCCGGGGGGCAGGGACGCGCCGGCCGGCGCGGCGCAGCAGGAGCGGCGGCGGCGGGGACGGGCCCTGGCTGCAGCCGCCACCGCCGCCCTGTTGGTGCGGCCGCTTCCTGATCCAGAGCAGCCGCCGCCGCCGCCGGAGCCGCGGGAGCTGGGGGAGCCGGGAGCCCGCGAGCGCCCCGGCCCGGCCCGGCGTCCCCAGCGCGGAGGAGCTGCGGGCGCTGCCCTGCGCCGGGACCGCTCGGCTGCGCGGCGGCAGGAAGGGTGAATGAAGACGGGAGGAGGGGAAGGAGGAGGCGGCGGCGGCGCTGCGGGGATTGGGATGCGCCCCGGAGCCCCGCGGCTCGCTCACTCGGGGCCCGAGACGCAGCCGCCGCCGCCTCCTCCTACGTGGTGGCCGCGGAGCGCGCAGGCCGGTCCCGCAGGGGGGCAGGGAAGGGGCCGGACCGGCGGAGCAGGAGGTGAGGCGGGGTCGGGGAGGAGGGAGTGAGCGAGCGCGTGTGAGTGTGCGAGTATGGAAGTGCCCGCGCGTGAGTGTGTGTCCCCGGGCCCGGAGGGGGCCGACACCGTCGCGTTGGGGAGGGGGGGTCCCCGCGGGGGTCCCTTGGCTGCCTGCAGCGCTGCGACCTCTCTTTAGCCACCTCCTTCAACTCCGTGGCTTGCGCGCTTTCATTTTATTTCAGACCACGTAGCGCGCTGACTGGGAGCGGTGAAACAATTCAGGTTTTCGAGGGAGATCGAGCAAGGACCTTAGTGGTGGGGGTGGAAGGAGGGTGGTGATCTGGACTCTGCCAGGAAAAAAAAAAAATAAGGGTTCTAAGACGGTGGGGTTTAGTCCGATCCCCTGGGTGTCCTGTTTTGTTTTGCTTTCTTGCTGTATAATCCTACAGATAAGAGGGTAATATAAATACTTGGGAAGGTTGGGAAATTGCTGAAGAGTAGTAAGGGCGAAAAAAAAAAAAAAAAAGCCAGTCGGAAGCTGGTTATATAATGCGCTATGTGGCTAACAAGAAAGGCAAGCTATTTTTATTTTGTTTACCGTATGTTGTGCAGTAGGAACTCCTCCAAACTGGTTCTGTCCCTGAAGAGATTTCTTAGCTTCTCGGAGAGAGCCACAGGATACAATTAGTAAGATTAGAAGACCCCACCCCACCTACAGAATAAAAAGTAATGCCTGAAGAGTTCTCACCTCGCATCCTGCCAGGCGTGCGGGAAAATGTGTGTATGCAATACGTTTCCCTGGTAGTCTCATCTCGGTGACATTCCTGTTTTATAATGCAAGCTCTTCTTAATATTTAAACATCGTCGCTATCGATCGTAGGCAACAAGGTAGTTACACGCTGATTATTTTTAGGCACAGCTGGTTACTTTTGCAAGGGTGTTTGCTTAAACCCTTTCTGTTTGGCTTTTTGAAGAGCCCTCCGTTCCTAGAAGCCCTGCTTACGCCCAGCCTCTAGTTTATTGATGGTGGGTGGGTAGCTAAGATAGTTTGATAGCCAAGGGATTTTATTTTTATTTTATTTTATTTTTGAATGAGGCTTATACCAGCGGAAGCTAGAGGTAGCCACCAGAGAGAAGAAAAACATGCACACGAACTCTTGGAAAGCGATTGCACCACAACAGCTTAGCTGTGGCGTTTAATCTCCTCTGATTGTCCTCTGACTGGCCCTGCATCAGTCAATATTTTAGCAGCTTTGCAAATAAATGGGCTTGAATGCCACCTTCCACATAAAGCTGAGGCTGCAAAGCCTCCGCCTGTCTGCCTCCCTCATCATACAGATATTGTCAGCGGTGTTAGTTTTCTGTACACTTACTCCAGCCCTGATCACTCATGTAATTAGATCAGGCTGCCATAGCAACAGACAGTGTTCCTCGGCCCATTCAGGTGGGTTTGCCTGAACTACTCCGAGGGTTTTATGCACAGTATTTGAGCTTCCCGAACCGGAGGGTAGAGAATTCACTGTTTCAATTGCGTCTTCTTTCAGTCATTTGAACAGTAGACACTGAATGAGGTTTCTAGCTACTCAGCTTTTCTAAAAGAAACCAACACGCTCTTCCTACTGGGTACAATATGTAAATGCATCTCCCAGACAGTGAAAGGAGCCTGACAATCTTACTGGTGTTGATTGTGAGCAGATCAACAAGTATTTGATACTTGCTAGCGACCTTTCAGAGCTGACTAAAGCCACGTTTCTTTTGCAGTCTGGAGCCTTTGGCCTTGCAGGCACTTAACTCTTTCAAGTGTGAGAGAGGAGCTCACCCGTGCTGCAGAATCGAAATTGCTGACAGTGCTGGCTCGCTTTCTAGATTGTTTACTGAAAGGAGATGACTTATTTGGAAAGTCCAACCCTACTGTCAAATTCTAAAACTTCACAGCCTGCATTATAAAAACTGGTGCTGACAGCAGGCAGCCATCCTGAATGGTATCTTCCTTAATTTGGATCTGTCCCTCCTGATCTTTGATGATTGTCAGTAGTAAGTGAAAAAAAAAAAAAAATATATATATATATATATATATATATATATATATATATATATATATGCAGCTAAGTTAGAGACCATACAAGCCAGTATAATGCATAGAGCTTTGCACAGTAAACAGTTTGCACTGTACTTTAGGATATAATTTAATGAACATCTAGAGAGCTGCTGTCCAGTGTTTGTATTTGGGCACCACCTTAAGCCTACTAAGGCCAGAAAGATAATATTATGACAGAAAAGGAAACAAAAAAGTAGCTTTAGTCGCTGGAGCCCAGCACTCTTCATACTGTCCAAACGAAGGGGAATGTTTTCGGAACTTTGAGTTTGTCATGATTTAGTTGTGACTCTACCAGTCAGTTTATAGTTTTAAGGCCAAGTAGCTAAATTGGTTCAAAGAGAAGAGAGAAAGACATACAGAGATTACCACCCTCCCCCAACACACACACACACACACACACACACACACACACACACACACACACA